GTCGGCCCCTCTGGCCAGCCTGGCATGCCCCCTTCATCCCTTAGAACCCAGCAAAGTGAGGAATCGGGAGAGGACCCGCCCTCGGGAAGGTCATGGTAAGGCTGTGCGCCTGGAGCTCTGAGCCCATGGTGTGCTGCAGTGGCTCATTCGCAGTCGCCACTCGTGCGCCACCCCCAGGCCGAGGCCAGCCAGGTCGGGATTCTTCCTGACTGGGGCTGCACCTCTTGGAGCAGGCTATGGACAGACTGACAAATGCCCAGAAGGCCAGGGAAGCAGGAGGGAGAGTCCCACAGGGCCCGTACCACCAACCCTGCCTCTACCTCTATTGTCAGCCCAGGGACTCCAGCTCCTTCCTTGCTGACTTGCATCTCGCTTCGTTATTATGCAGATATTTTAATTATGCAGATATGTTTTTAGACAGTTTTAAACATGTATATTATTTACTCATTAGACCATAACAGCTCTGGAAATTGGAAATGTGTATTTAGTACCTATCAGTGCACAATACAGAGCTAATACAGGGCCCATGGGGCTTCATGTCGTCAGCAGCAGGAGGCTGGGTACCCCTGCCGGGGCCTTGACTCAGTGACACCAAGGTTGGGAGAGGCTTCACCCATCCCCTCCCCGGAGGGAAGGGCAAGACACGGCTGTGAGGGTGGGGCAGCCGAACCCAACCAGCCAGGCCCACCTTGGCCAGACCTGGCTCCCTCTCTGGGACAGTCGCTGAAACCCCACTAGGCTTGGACATCAAGTTTCCCTGGATGTGGTGCCCCCTCCACCACTTCCTCACCAGGGGCTTCGACCTGATCCAACCCTGACTGTTGCTGGCATTTGGGGAGTGAACCAGCAGATGGAAGTCTCTCTCTCTCTCTCTCTCTCTCTCTCTCTCTCTCTCTCTCTTTTTCTCTCTCTCTCAAATAAAAAATGCACTTTTACATATCTTGATATCTAGCTGGGGAGAGGGCCCAATCCATCTGGCATGGGACCAGTGCAGCCCTGGCCTGGGGCAGGTGGGTGGCTGGGCAGAGGCTGGTGTTTCTTTGTCATTGTGTCGTCGTTACCTTTCTGGGAACCTCTGGCAGCGTTTTCAGGACATCACCTTGGTGCTTGGGCTGCGCAGTGGGCGTGCTGCCCCCGCCCTGCAGCTCACAGCTCCCCTTCCGCCATGGTTGCTCCCCCTAGCTCAGCCCACAGCGCCCCAGACCTCAGCATCCTGCACCCTGTAACCGAACAGGACCGAAGCAGCCTTCCCCTCTGGACTGTACTAAGCCCTGATTGTTCCCAGGCCTTTGGGTTCCCAGCACTGGGAAGGCGGCTCGCATGCAGGGAAGTGAGGGGCAAAGGACAGATGAGAAGAAGTGGGGAGCACCCACCCTGAGGGGAGAAAGAGCCCCTGAAGGTCCCAGTCCCCCAAGCGCCCCCTCCCAGCAGGTAGAGACTTCGGAGGGTGCCCACTGTGGCCCCGGGTCCCTTAACTCGAGTCATTGTGTGTTCAGCTCCCTGCAATTGTGCGATGTTTAACTTAGTGAAATCTGAAGGCATTCGCGGAGGGGGCTGCTCCCCGGGGGAGCATTGTCCACAGCCCAGCGCGCTCCAGTCCTCCTCTTTCTTGCCTTTTCTTGTAAGAATGGTTCTGGAGCTGAGGGAAATTGATTGTTAAGTGAAACTCTCTGATAATTGCCTCTGAAATGCCTGCTGTTATCCTGATGGACTCGGCTGTGAGCAGCCCCCGCTCAGCAATCCCACCGTGGTCCCCTCCAATGCCATGGCCTTGAAGGGGACATTGCATGCCAGGCAAGGCACCATGAGTGACTTGGTAGCAGCAGCAGCCTCATAGGAAGCCCTCAACCTGTCCCACCGCATACGGTGAGAGAAAGAGGCTCAGAGAGGTTAACCAACACACTTGAGGTCACACAGCCAGCCAGGCAGGGCCAGGCTCAAACCCAGCCTCTACGCAAGTCCAGGGACACTCTGGCCTTCATTTAGTAGACATTCACTGGGCACCTGCTGTGTGCCCGAGGCTGGTATGAGACAGTGCCCCACCAGGCTCAGAGTCTACCGGGAAAAGCCCATGCAGCAGAGGGTTCCCAGGGTGCGAGGGTGGGGACGCAGGGAGTTGGTGGGAGTCACGGGGTGGTCAGGAGGGGTCTGGTCAGAGTGAACAGGGAGGAGCAGCAGGGGCACGGGCTTGGCAGCAGACACTGCAGGGGCTCCGAGAGCCGCTCCCAGGGGCACAGGTGCTCAGGGTCAGAGCCAGGAGCACAGCACATCCCCCCAGAACCAGGCCGTGACCCCAGCTGGTGCGTTCTCAGCTCACACCTCGGCCTCAGTGTCAGTCCCCAGCCTGCCTGCCCCTGCTCCCTCGGGATGCCCTGGGACAGGTGAGAGAAGCAGTAGGAAGCTGAGTTGTGGGGTGGGGTGAGCATGGTCTCCTGGCCATCCCATGCTGGCCTTGACTGGGTGCACCATGGGGACAGGAGCCCAAGACCCTGAGAGCCCGGCCTGGGCCAAATAGAAAGGTGGGCGCAAGAACCCTCAGTGCCAGCTGAGACCCCTCCAGGAGGCGCCGGCGGAGCTGCCGTGCACCCTCCTGGGGGGTGCAGTGACCATACCCAGTTTCCAGGCAGAGGAGTGCAGGCACTGCTTGAGAAAGCTGCACTCTGAACCCCGGCCAGGGCTCCTGTCCAGGCTGTGAGCCCCACTCAGAGCTGTCGCCCTGCTGGGTGTCCCGCATCCTCTCAGCCTCTCATCCTTGGCCTGAGGGGAACTGCGCAGCCTGCCCACTCCACCCCCTCCTCCCGCACCACCAGGCCTGCCTGTTTAGCAGTTCGCACACGTCCAGTGCCCGGGGATGGACTGATTGATCTGTAACACCGAAAAAATAATAATGGCTTGATCGTTACTGAGGATTAAAAGTAATCCTTTTGCTGTGGCTATTGCGACTCCGTTATTCACGAGTCAACGGGCTGACCCGGGCTGCCCGAGCCCAAGGGATCCCGTGAGCTCAAAGGAGGCTGGGGGCTGTGGCCCTCCCTCCCTGGGGCTGCCACGCCTTGTCTGCTGAGTCAGGACCCTGAGCAGCCTCAAGGCTCCCAAGGTCGCACCCACACCTGAGCCCTGAGCCCTTCGAGGAGGAGCCAGCACCCTCTGGCTGGGAGTGGAGGTAGGGGAGGGAGGGGGCAGTACCTCAGGGCATGGCCAGGTTTGGGGACTTCCACTAGTGTCAGTTGCCTGTCTCCAGCCCTGTTTATCCTGTGGCTTCCCTGGAACAAGATACCCAATCTGGCTCATGCTGTGCCCCAGCCACAGCCCCCGTGAAGGGCAGTGGCCTCCACAGAGCCCCACCTGGGCTCCAGACCACTCTGAGGGAGACCAGGGGTCCCTGAGGAGGCAGCAGGCCTCTGAGTAAGGAACGGGGGCACAGGGATTGCCCAAGGCTCAGCTGTCAAGACCTCAGGGGCTGCCGCCGAAGGCTGCACAGATCGAGCAGGCCAAGTGCTGAGCTTGCACCTGCTGCATAGTACGTGCTCAGTTAACATGAGTGACGTGTGTTATTAGCCGTACACCTCACACCGTAATGTCCTCTGCAGAAGGGCACTGCAGGCTTATGAATTGGGGCCTCACCCACTCCGGGAGGGTATCCGCAGTTTAGACCAAGAGGCCGCCCCAGAATTGGAAAAGGAAGGACGGGAGTCAGGCACAGGCGGGCCTAACCGAATCTCAAGGAAGCTTCCCTTATACGTGCAGAGCAGTGGGGAGCTACTGGAAGGTTTGGGGGCAGGGGACGGGGACATGATCAGGTTTTGGATGAAGCTGCAGGGCGGCGTGGAGGAGGGATGAAGGACAAGGGAGGACACAAATGCGTGGGTCGGGACAAAGCGTGAGCTGGGGCTGAACAGAAAGCAGTGTGAGCAGTGTCAAGTGGAAGTGGAAGGTAGGCGGCTGAGGTTCCAAGGAGCCTGGGCCTGTGCAGCAAGGGGTGGTGAGCTCTGTGGGTCTGAGGGCCCTTCCAGCAGAGGTCCGGGAGCTCGCGAGAGGCCAAGGTTGGAGGTAGGACATGGCCGGGCGGCCTCCTAGAATAGAAAGACCTGTGGTCCCTGCAGGGCAGCACAGGGTGGACAAATGGTGGCAGAGGCCAAGCCTGTGTGGGAGAGGGAGGTGAGGGCCAGGAGGGCTGCAGCCACCCTGCTCCCTAGGTCCCTGGTCTCACAGCCTTCCCACCATTCAGTGCTCTTGGCCTGAGGGCGAAGGGGAACCAAGGCTAGTGGGTGACCAGACCCCAGCACCTCCTCCAGGAAGCCTTCTCTGAGTTGCCAAGGCCGCAGCACCAAGCTCCTTGAATCTCGTGGTTCCTGCCCTACTGGTTCTGCCCCATTTTGTGTCAGTTCCCCCTGTAACCTGTGGTCTGTGAGGGGATCCACCAGTGACCTGGGCTGGCCCTGAGTATGTAGTGGCAGGTGTGGGCTGCACAGGCACACAGCTGCACTCTATGGGGCATTCTGCTCACAGGAGGAGGCCACTGGAACCGGCCCCCAAGCATGGGCCAGGCCCATGGAAACAGAAGGCTCAGGAGCCCTGGAGGGACAGGAACAGGGACAGCAGGTGTGGTGGGTGGAGGTGGGCGGTGGGTACTTCCACTTCCGGTGGGCACTTCCCTGGCAAGCACTCTGCGACTTGGGCAGTCACCCTCGGCAAGGAAGGCCTTCCTGTCGACACTGGGCTGACACCCGTTTGTGGGGAGTGGAAGGTGGCACTGGGGTTGGTCCAGCCCTGGGGTCCCCGTGCTGAGGGGAAGTGCAGGGAGTCCCGTGGAGATGCCCCTTGAGTCCTGCTGTGCAGGCTTCTGTTTCCAGTGCACCTGGCCGTGGTGGGTGCAGTGCCCACCCTGTGAGCCGGCCAGGGCCCTGGAGTCTGGGGATGGACAAGGGGTGGGGTAGGGTGGGGGAGCATGGGGCAAGCGGCCTTGCCCTCCTCTGACCTCCCTATCCTCTGTCCCTCAGAGACTGGCCGATGCTGCAGAGAGCTTCCAGAAAGCCCACCGCTGGCAGGACAGCATCAAGGTAAGAAGCACCTGTCAGCACTTCACTGGCTCTCCATGGGGCACAAGTTTCAGGTCTCAGTTAAAAATCCATGCACTGATTTTTTAAACAGAGCTGCACTTTGGGCAGGCCCAGCCCCAGCAAGGCTAGAAGAGGGTGCGGGGGGGGCTGCCCCAAGGCCCCCGAGGGGCACTAAGGGCTCTGGGAGTCGCTCTAGAAGCCTATGTCCAGCACGCAGCGCAGGTTCCCACCGCTGCCAGGCACCCGGTGCCCTGTGCGCCCCATCTCTCGCCGGAGGCTCCCGTGAGTGGACGAGTGGCTGCCAGGTGGTCTTTCCCCAGGGAGGCACCCGGAGCCTAGAGAGCCCCTGGGCCAGGGAGGCCACGTCGGACTTTGGTACAGGGAGCTGGGAAAGACACTTTTCCCTCCCTGGGTGGAGTCCTGGCTGCAGCCAGCAGAGAAGCCTCCCACTCTGCCACCAGAGCTGAGGCAATACTCCTGGGAGCTGAGGGGCAGCCGGCCAGTCCAGGTTGGGTTTGGAGCTGTCTGGGGCTGGGTCTACCCTCCCCTAACTGAGGCCCAGTGCCTTGTGTCCTCCACAGCTGCTCAGGCATCAGGGCCACACCTCCTGGTGATGTCTGTGCCCAACCAGGGAGGCCAGGGCAGAGCTGCCCCTCAGACCCAGGGATCAGTAAGGAGGGTGGGGTAGGGCAGACCCTTGGCTCAGCCCAGCTCTGGGCCAGGCACACCTGAGCACACCTGTCCCAGGAAAGAGGTGGGTTGTGCCCACTTCACTGATGAGAAGACTGAGACACAGAGTGGTTAGACCTGCCTGAGGTGACTTGTTGGTGGCAGAGATTGATGCCTATGATCCAACTCCTCCTCCCCAGTCCCTGCCCCCACCCCAGTCACCCTGAGCCTGCCCCATCTCCCCCGCAACTTCACCACATCCCTCCTTTGCCACCTGGTGGGTTCTAGATACTGCCCGTGCAGGTTCACTAGGAGTTGGAAATGAAAGATGAATTTTTATTTTTTCTTTTTGAGAGGCAGAGACACACAAAAAGTAACCGACAGATCTTCCACCCACTGGTTCACTCCCTACCTGCCTGCAACAGCCAGGGCTGGGCCAGGCCCAGGCCAACACTGGGAGCCGGGAACACAGTCCAGGTCTTCCACATGATGACAGGAGCCCAAGCCTGAGCCGTCACCTGCTTCCTCATCAGGTCCATGTTAGCAGGAAGCTGCAGTCGGGAGCTAGAGTCGAGCATGGAGCCCAGGCACTCTGATGTGGGATGCAGGCATAGTCACCACGTGTTGGCTAGCAGGACCAATGCCTGCCCTCAGAGGACTTTATAAGGTGAATGACATGAGCCAGTGACCGCCTGCCCTGGAGCCTGAGATCCGACACTTCTCTCCCTCCTCCTTGCACCACCACCCGTCCTGGGGCCCTTGGTCAGAAATGCACATGGCAGTAGCCACTGGCTCTCACTCACCACCCGGACCATGCCACCGCCTCCAGACAGCCCCTGTGCTGGGAGCTTCTTCTGAAGGCCAGCCCTGACCACTGCTCCTGCCTCCCTGGCCAGCCTGCTCCATGTCCACCACACTGAACACTGAACTGCAGGGCCCTTCCTGCCCCATGGCCTTTGCTTGCACTGACCTGTCTGCCCAGCCCATCAGCACCCCCACCTTCTGGGCCCTCAGAACCCTCAGCTTTGCACAAGAACTGGGGAAAAGGGAATGAGAAGACTCACCCATAGCCTGGCCTCCTCTCCCTCCCTGTCCAGACTCAAACAGGGAACACAGAGGCTACTTTGGCCCAAACCTGTTTTTTCTTCCTGCCATGACCCCAGTGTATTCCAGGCTGGAGTGGGCACTGTGGGGACCCACCAGGAGGGTGCCCCAGGTCTCAGGGATCTCAAGAGAATGCTGAGACAGATGCTGCTTCAGGCCAGTCCCTAGGGGACCCTGCAGGGGCCTCAGTTTCCCCATTTGGCAAGGGCTGCTGGTATTGGTACTGCCTATCAACTCAGACACCATGTACAAACAGGCCATACAGCAGGCCACGTGAGTGCCAAGCTGCTGATGGTGGGGTGAGTATCTAGCCGCACCAGCTCTCAGGCCCTGGCTGTGATCCCGGGCTGACCCTTCCCCCAGCTTGATCCGAGGTGCCCCCAGCTGTGGGCATGGGCCCAGCCTGCAGTCCTCCCCGGTCAGTGTGCTGCCCATCTGTGTCACATGGGGGTCTCGGGCATGGCAGGATGGCTGTCACCCCCTCCTTCCCGGCTGATCTTCCCTCCACGCCTGCTGGGCTGAAGGTACCAGTGCCAATGCAGGCCCATTAGCCCACACGCTGCCAGGAGCTGGTGGCAGGAGTGCAGGTGGGGGCTGTTCGAGCTGGGGGTGCCCAGCTAAAGTTGGTGAGGGGTGGTTTTTGTCCCTGGCAAAGACACCGCTTACCCCAGAAACCATGTCCTTTTAGTGACCTTCAGGAAGTTATAGGCAAGGAGCCGTGTTCTCCAAGACCTTGGAGAGGCACCTGGCCTGTGCCATGACTCTAGCCTTGAACTCAAGCCCTTGATCCAAGCTGGGTTTCCTTCTAGGAACGCCCTTACCCCACCCTTCAGAAAGACAGAGCCTTTCCCTCTAGTTCTCCGCCTAGGACTCCGGCTCTGGCCCTCACCCTGGGGTTGGCGCGCACTGCCAATAGCACCCGCCTTTGGAGCCTGCATCAGAGACACTTCCCAGGCCAGCATCCCCAGGGTTCATCTGTCCACCCCACTCACAGCTCCTCCAGGCCAGGAGCATTCGGGCCTGACTCGGTGCTGCCCACCACTGCCCTTGTGCCCAGCTTGGTGCCCTGGTGACAGAGTGAACAGGTAGCGCTGAAATGGGGAGGGCAGCACCCGGCAGTTCTGGATACAGAGGAGATGCTTGGCCCACAGGGCCAGCCTGGATCCCATTACCCAGAGTTAGTGGGGTGTACCCTGTGCCCTGCCGCCATGTCGACAGCACCCAGTAGGTCTGTATGCAGACCTCTGAGGAAGGAGGCTGTGCCCCCACTCACAGAAACATTGCTAGCACCAGTCCTGGGATGAGGGGCATCCTGGAGTCTGCAGGATCCAAGCTGTACCAACAGATCCAGAGGGCCACATCTGAACATCAAACCCTCCTGTGTTCCTTCCTGACCCCAGGCTGTGGTCCCATACACGTTCCTTCCATTGCCACAGCCCCCGCCAGCTCAGGCCCCTGGACACCAGGGAGGCTGCTGCCTTAATTCCCAGGCAGCGCCTCCCACAGTCCCTGCAGACAGGCCCAGGTGCTCTGCTGCCCATAACACTTAGGGTAGATGAGATGGGCCACCTGCCGGGCCAGACCTGGTGCCAGCACCACACTGTGCCAGCATTGTGTGCCACCTAAGCCACCCCCGGGGAGGCGCTGGTGTAGGGCATGGCGAGGGGAGGAAAGAGAGGCCAGTGGCCAATGGCCCTGGAGCCTCAGTGCCAACACGAGGGCCTGCAGGAGACAGAACCATGCCTAGGAGTCAAAGGGAAGGAAGAGCCCTCCCTAGGGAGTCTGATGGGGCTGACACACAGGCTGGTGGGGGAGGTAGCTCTGCCTGGGGAATCTAGAGGAAGGCTGGGCCAGGCTGGATAGGACAGGTGGCCTCCCCGCCCGCGGCACTGACCCAGTCGTAGGACCCGCTGCCTGCCTGCCTGCCAAGGCAGCAACAGACGGCTCTCTTCAGCAAATGGTCCTGTCGGCCGAGCTGAGCCGAGCCGAGCTGGCAAGGGGCCAGGGCGGGAAGGCCAGGCCTCCTCTCTGGTGTGGCCGGGTGGCTGGCCCTGGGGCCTGCAAGGGGCTCGTGGGCAGGCACAGTCGTGTCTGGCCAGCTTTGGCAGCTGCTTCCCAGGGCAGCAGTCCACTGTTCCGCATGTTCACCCGAACTCCCCTGGTGCCCCCTGCTCCCCAGTGCCACCTCCCAAGGAGAATGTGCAAGCGGACTTCAAAAAGTTTGTGGCAAAATGGAAAGAAAAGAAGGTGTAAATATTTTATGCATTTTCATTTTTACATCCACTGGTTCTCTCCCCAGATGCCTGCAACAACCAGGAACTCAATCCTTGTCTCCCACTTGGGTGACAGGGGCCCAAGTACCTGAGCCATCACCAGCTGCCTTTCGGGGTGCACATTAGCAGGAAGTTGGGTTGGAAGCAGAGTAGCCAGGACTGGAGCCAGGCACTTCAGAGTGGGACGCAGGTGTCCCACGGGGCGACTCCACCACGGTGTGAACGGCCCACCCCAAAAGACATTTCTTTTGGTACAAAAAATTTTGAAATCTGTGCATTATTTTTTATAATGTGCATTTTCCATGAACTTTTTGAAGTCCCAACATAAGTGTCACCAATACTGGGCCATGTGGGCCCCCGCCAGGCCCACTCCTCATCTGTCACCTATGTACACAAGTCCATGTTGGTGGGGGGATGTGTGTGAGCTCAGAGAGCACAGTTCACCCCACCCCAAGCCCAGTTAGAGCAAAATGGCCCTGGAAGTACCGAGTCATGGAGCAGGGTGCCCTGACATTGAAGACACCTCCGTCACCCTAGCCAGCGGTCTTTTCTACACTCAGCGTCTCCCGGGGCCTGTGGAGGTGCAAATATGAAGGGGCCCCACCCAGGGGGGGTTGGCCCTGCCTCCCTCCCCCTCCTGTAGGCACCCTCAGGGGAAGCATCATCATCTTCATTTTGCAAATGGAAGTGGAAGGTGGAAGCCCAGAGGGAGAGCCCCATGGAGCTGGCGTGATTTAACCTGGCTGCCTGGCCTCGTCGGGGAGATGGGGGCGCTCCCTGGGAGTCCTCCTGGGGCTACCAGACAAGCCTGTAGGCAGGGGCCCTTGAGACAGCCTCAGTCTTCACTCACTGTGCAGGACCGCGCAGCTCGCACCTGTCCGGGTCAGAATTTGGACCCAGGACCCTTTGCCAAGGGCTCTCTACTCATTCACTGGACAGTGCCGCAACCTTATTGCTTAACCCAGGAGGTGGCCACCAATGGTGGCACTGTGCAGGCCAAAGCAGACCTGGAGGCCTTCCTGGGACCTTCCCCCAACCCTGACCTTGATGGCCCCATCCTGCCACACCCCTGGCTCCACATCACACAAGCATAGCAGTCAGTGTGTATACCATGCATTAGTTCACATGTGTCACCTTGCTTGCTACCATCCTGGGCTCCTGTCTCTACCAAGGAAGGGGCATGGCCTGACCTCACTATCCACACACATGTGGGTTTTGGGGTGTAGGAAAAGAAAGCATAGAGACTCCTGAGCCTCACCTGTAGTCTGCAGGAATCCTGCATGTTGTGTCCTCGCTGTGTCCCTGATGTCACCAACATCTGATCTTCCACTGAGGTGGGGAAACAGTGGGACCAAGGGAGAAACAGAGCTGTCGGGGCAGCTGGAGAGGCGGCCCCCGTGAATGCAAGCAGGCCACTGCCGCCGCTGCCACCGCAGCCCAGGAGGGGAGTCCAGGGCCCCCGCCCGCGCCCTTTCTCGTCCTTGCTGAAGCTCTGCCTACAGAGTTGGCAAGTGAAGCCCCAGGTTGTAATCTGCAGTCCTCCCAGCGCGCCCGCCTGCTTTCATTCCGAGGGAGAGAGCATCAGAGCCGTGTTTATAACCCCCTTTTAGATAACAAATCACATTTTCTTTTCGCCAGCGAGTGTGTTGAATTGATATTTTTTCCCCCTCAGTTTAATGGGTTTGTGTGTTCAGGAATGATCTTCATCAACCGAAACTCCTTATTGTGTTTGATGTAATGTCAGCTTTCATTATGCACTGTGGTCGGCGTCGGCGCCGGCACCGGGAAAGGCTGAGCACCCTGGAGCCCGGGCCGCAGCCCCAGCCCCTGCCCCAAGCCCACCTGGGCTCCAGGGGTCCTGGACGGGTGGGTGTGGGTGGGGCTGAAGATGAGCTTTTAGGGCAGGTTGGAGCCAGGGTGCAAAACCTTCCTTACCTCTGACGTCATCCGTATGATGGGGTCATAGGGCTGTCACAAGGAAGCCCCACACCCCCGGATGGCTCATGCTCTGGGAGCTGTCAAGCTGCACTCGGCCTCATGTCACTCAGGGGGCTGTGGCCTCGCCCATGTGTGGCTCAGGCATGCAGGCAGTGTTCCCAGATGCTCGGACTAAGCCTGCGCGTCCCAGGTCCCTGACACCGTCCCCTGTGCCCACCACCTCGAGCTGTGACCTGAAAAGGCTGAGACTCAGGGAGGGAATCATCTAGCCCTGGGGTCACACAGAGAGTGCTTGGGGGGCTGGCCGAGGTGACCCCTGCCCCTCGTGCGAGCAGTGCTGGCTCTGCGCTTGCTGCCTTATAGCCAGGCCCTCGCAAGCAGACACGATCACCTCCCCATTTGCAGGCCAGGAAGAAACCGGCCCTGAGTGAGGGAGGGGCTGCCTTGGCTGTCCCCGGCAGGATTGAGGAGCACCTGGAGAGGGTGCCTTGGACGTGGTGCCGGCCCCACAGCCCCGCTTGAGTAGGTGGCCCTTGCTGACACCGGGCTCACCTTCTGGCGGCCTCTGTCAGCCGCGCTCGGTTCTGATTAAAGATCATTAAACATGAAATTAGCCCGTTTGTGTTACGGGTCCCCGGGGCGGCCGGTGATTATGACGCGCAGATGGCCAAGAACCCAGGCGGCGGGCGGCGGGCAGGCGGGCGCGGGCCAGGACGGGCGGGCGAGGCCGGGAGGCAGGCGTGCAGTCTGGGCTTTGTTTTCCCCCGCTCCTGTTGTGTCAACCCCTTTGCATTTCACAACAAATCACAGATAATTAATAAGTACATGCCCGTAATGAGCAGGCTCTTTAATAGAAGAAATTGGAAGATGCGGCGCCGAGTCATTATTTCGCTCGAGCCCAGGCTCCGCGCTATTTTCCCATCTTCCTCGCTCCCCGTCCTGGCTCCGCCAGCATCTGTGCAGCGGCCAGCCAAGGACCCGCCTCCCGGCAGGGCTGCAGTGTGGGGCTGGGTCCCTAGGTCGGGGATCCTGCAGGATCCAGCCACCGTGGCACTTCTTCCTCCTGGGCCTGGCTGGGGAGGGGGCAGGTGGCTATGGAGGAGGGAGGGAGGGAGGGGGGGAGGGAGGGGGACAGTCTGTGTCCCTGAGCACTCTGAGATGCCCCCATCTCAGGAATGCTTGGCTGTGGGTGCTGAGGTCTCTCCCCCCGCCCCCTCCAGGAGGAAGACATCATGTACTATGACGCCAAGGCCGACGCCGAGCTGGTGAGTACCCCGAGCTGTGCCACAGGGGAGGGATGGGGAGAGTGCTGGAGCTACGCCTCCTCCCTGGGCCTCCGCGCCCCAGCTGTGAAATGGGTGTTAGGACTCAGGACTAGGATTCTGAGCTCAACCCTGCAAAGTCTGTCTTAGCAACACCTGCCCACTCCATCTCCTGTAATCCCCCCAGGACCCCGAGCCCTCCAGGGCTGTGTCTCCATTGCCACTGAGGGCTGGAAAATGTGCAGGGTGTGGGCAGGCATGGCCCCCTGCCTGAGCAGGGCGGAGAGGCCCTTAGACCTCCCTCTACAGGGCAGTTCAGGTCCCTGCAATTGGAGGGGGCCTGGGTGCCACAGCGTAGAGGAGAGAGTGATGGGGGAGCTTCCTGGAGGTGGGCAGGGGGAGCAGGGCCCAGTGAAACCCAGGTGCATTTCCAGTCTGTGCAGGCCCCTTCTGGAATGCGGGGACACAGCACAGTGCACTGAGTGTTCTCCCGCCCAGCCCCAGGTTCACTGCTGGACCCTGAGCCCCATCCGTCTTACCCCAGCTGTAAGGGTAGCCTACAGGGGATGCGTTCAGCTCGGCTGGCATCACTCCCCTGAGAAGGGGTGGCACTGAGACTGACCAGAGAGCCCAGAGCCCCTCTGCCTCCATGTCACACAGCGGCTGCAGTCTGAGCTCTCCTGTAAGGTAGTGAGGTCCCCGTCACCAGAGAACTCATGTGAAAGGGGTGTGGCCATTTTGGGGGGAGGTGGCTACGGAGAAGACAGCATGTCTGAGCTCGTCAAGGCCCAAGTCCCTCTGCCTGCCTTCATGGCGACCAGGTGGCAGTCTGTGGCATCCCACCTGTACTCACCAGTGCAGAAGGCCCAAGAGCCAGCCTTCCTTTCCCAGGCCTGGGCGTGGGGGGGGGGGGGGGGGGTCTCCTGGGGCGAACAGGAGATAGCCAATGACACCAGGAGGTGGAAGGGCTGTGCAGTGCACGCAGGTTTGGGCCTGCCGGGGAGAATCTCGGGGAGAGCAGGGGCCTGAGAAGGAAGGGGGTGGGCTCAAGCAGGTGTGCTTCCCCTTGGCTGAGCTCCGTGGCTCCCGGAGAAGTTGCTAAAATTAAAGCTGGAATCTGAAATTCAAATGAAGAGCGAACCTTTAATTAGACCCTGAATCTAATTCCTTACCCCCCTCGGCAGCGGGCTGTAATTTTAGCAATCAGTGCATTAAATATAAACCGGAGACTGCTGCTGCCCACTAGCCCAAGGCCCTGGGCTCTGGGGTGGCATCGAGGGGCTCCTTGGCCAGCCTGGTGCCCAGGCCCCCCACCAAAACACTCCCAGCAGCACCCCTGGCTGTATCCAGGACTCCAGCCCCTGGACATCTGCTGGGGGTGGGGAGGGCGAGGGGCTGCCCCAAAACAGATTGATACCCGGGTGGGCCTGGGCTAGGATCAGCTAAGCCGAAAACGCAGCCAGGCCCACCCCGGTGTACATAACAGCACGCACACACTTGCCGACTCCCCTGCTTGTTGTGTTGTTTTGTTTTTTTAATCTTTGCCAGAGGTACAGTTAGAGATCTTTCTAGACCATTTACTTTTAAATTACCAGCCAGAAGGTGGGGGTGGGGGAAAGAGAAGGAAGGAAAAAGTTCGCCGGCTGATAGCTTATCAGAATGGAATCCAAATGTCACATTAGTTGGGAAAGTTGGGAGATTAAATTTTCCAGCGCCCTTCATCTGCCGTTGACATTTCGGGGGCTTTCTTCTCCCGCACCTCCCCCTCCTCTGAGCAGAACGTGAGCGGCGCACGCTTCACAGGCGGCCGGAACGCTCGGCCGCAGATCGGCCGCCGCCTGCCCTGGCTCTACCCCAGCACCCGGGGGCTTCTAGGGGTCCCTGGGGCATGCTGGGGGAGGGAGGGGTGCGGGGGTGGCACGCTGGGGGAGGGGCACTGGGAGGGCAGCAGACAGCTTGGATTTGGCTGTACAAAATATGCCCTTGAAGCGGCTGGCGGGCCCTCTAGAGCCCCCACCCTGGGGTGTGGAGGGCACAGTTGCCTGGGTGGAGAGGCTCGGCCCCCTCTCCCCTGACAGGCACAGCCAGGCAGGAAGGCCGGGGAGGGGCCTGCCCAGGACACAGCGGCGAGGAAACGAGCTGAGCCTGGGCCAGGGGTGGTCATGAGGGTCGGGGGAGGGGGGTGGCCTCAGCTGCGTGTGCTCCCTCTTTCCAGTGCGAAAGCCCCCTGCTGTGCTCCCTGCCCCACCTCTGTTCGCCTCCCCTTGCTGGCTCTGGCTTCTCCCCTCCCCTCCATCCTCCTCCCACCCCCGCTGGTACACCTGCACCCGAGCCGCCCCCCCCACCCCGGCTGCGGCATGCACACTGCAGTCACAGGCCCACTCCGCCAGCCTGTGGTGGTGGGCGGGGGCGCATGGCGCATGCCCAGCCTGCCCAGCCGCGAGATGCTGTAATTGGCACCTGTCAGGCGACTGCAGCTCATTTTAGAAAATCAACAGGGGCCCGTACAGTCCTGCTGCTAGCAGGCGCCACAGGCTCTGCCTCTGGAGGTCACTAACACTCAATGCCAGCCCCCAGCCCAGCCCCCCAGGTCTGTCCCCCAGTTCAGTCCCTATGCGTCCCTGCTGCAGGGCATACGCCTCCTCCCCTTCCTGGTGCCAGACGAACTCCGGGCACAGGATGGGCAGGCCCCGTGGAGGTGTGGGGGTGTGGAGCTCCTGGGGGGCTGCCAGGCTTCCTCAGCTGAGAATTGGTTCTCAAGGACGTGGGGAAAGGGGAGGTTTCAGAATTGGGGTTTAGCATGGGGGGGGGCAGGCAGGGGAGTCACGGTCCCTGCGTCCATCTGTCTCTGTCTCTGAGGGCAGCAGTCTCTCAGAGATGTCCCCATCTCCTGGATGAGGCCCTCCCCACCCCCACCGTGGGCCTGTCCAACCCCAGCCCCGTTTTCCAGCCCTGACACTGCCCGGGCCCTGCTTCCCACAGGACGACCCTGAGAGTGAGGATGTGGAGAGGGGCTCGAAGGCCAGCACCCTACGGCTGGACTTCATCGAGGACCCGAACTTCAAGAACAAGGTCAACTACTCATACACGGCCGTGCAGATCCCCACGGACATCTACAAAGGCTGTGAGTGCGCAGAGCTGTGGGCGTCCTGGAGCTCCTGGGAGGGGTTGCGGGAGGAGGCCCGGGTCAGACAGTGGCTGCGGAGCCTGGGCAGCAGCGCTGAAGGCCCCAGGCTGCTGCTCTGACTCGGCTCTGTGGCCTCTTGAGGGGCAGCCTCGGGCTGCTAGGCCCACCGGCCTAGGGGTCTCAAGGCAAGGGCCCAGAGCTGTTGGATAGGTTCCAGGATGTAAGGGATCCTGACCCCCTCTGCCCTCCTGGTCAGCCTGCCTCCTGGGCAGCCTCAGGCAGGAGTGGGGAGGATGCTGCCCCCACCCCCGCCCCAGGCTGCCTGCAGGCCACCTGCGCGAGCCAGTCGAGGGGCACTATCACAGACAGCCACGCTAATTAAAACAGGAGCCACGCCACCCTCCCCAGTCACCCCTCGCTACCCACACAAATTACATTTTATATGTTTTTTATTTACTGTGTCACTTTTAATTAAATCTGTAATCGCCTGCCTGAGGGGGCATGGTCCCCGTTTCCCAATTCAGTGTGATCTCAGTGTGCACGTGGGTGCGGGTTGGGGGTGCTGAGCAGCAGGCCTTTGCCAGGCTGGGAGGGGCGGGCAGGTGTTGGCACAAAGCTGTGGGGGGGTGGGAGGCAGTCCACCCTGAGCAGGGTCTTCTCTTGGCTCCGGAGCTGCACCAGGGACACCCGTCTGCTGGCTCTGCAGGGGCTTCTTGAACACAGTGCCGTCAGCCTGTCACCGGCCAGGTGGGAAGACCAAGGCCGGGAGGGCTGAGACTTGCCAGACTGACTCCCAGCAGACGTAGTGTGTGAAACATTTGAGGGCATGACTTTTATTTTTTTTTCCTTAAAAAGAAACATAGAAATTGTTCAAGTCACTAAGTTTCTAATTCAGGAGTAGGACCATGACATACTGTTCAATAGGCAGAGCCAATGCTAGAAATGTGCTTTGTGTTCACATTTCCATCAGTTACGGGAAGCCATGGGGACGGACAGAGGGAGAGCAGAGGAGAGGGATCGGGCACAGCAGAGGCCCTGCACCCGGCGGGGACGGCAGAGAGGGTGCCCAGGAGTGTGTTGGCTCCCCAGGCCGTGGGCAGAGCCTCGAGGACAGGTGCATCACAACTCCGCAAGGCTTCTTGGGTTCTCGCTCGCAGTGGATCTTTGGCAAGGATCACAGTGGGGGCGGGGAGGAGGGTGTCACAGATGGTGGCAGGGCCCCCCCGGGCAGAGAGAAGGTAGAAGAAGCTGGAGGAATACATAGGGTGAGACCAGGGGCCTGGCAAAAGCAGGGGCCCCTTTCTGGTGCTTTCTCTGGGTGTGCAGACATGGGTGCACTGTGCCTGAGAACAGGTGCCCCACAGGTATTGGGCAGACTTTTAGGGCAATTGGGGGACTGCTCAGGTCATCCTGGGGCTGTCCGGGTCAAGGGGCCACAGGCTGGAGCCCGTTCATCTGAAAAGAGCGCCAGCCTGCTGCGGAGGGGTCAGCGTGGCCCAGGGACCACACGCCTGCAGCTGCAGGGGTTGCAGGGGTTGTGGGGGCAGGGGTGGGGCTGTCGTGAGGGCAGAACAAGCCGGGTCCTCTGATAGGCGCAGAGCAGCGTGTGGGTTTGAGCCCGTGTGCCCTGTGTCTGTGGGAGTGGGAGTGGTCAGGTTGTTGGGTAGGTGTGTCTGGGAGTGAGGAGATCACACACCTGGCTGGAAACGGAGTCAGGTGCAGGTATACCTGCCGGGGATGCTGGCTGTATGTGTGTGCGCATGCGTGCAAGTGCACACGTCTGTATTAGAGCAGAATCCTGGCACCGCCCCTGCCCTCCAAAGCCCACACCCCCACCTCTGCCTGCTCCTGGCCCCAGTTGATTAATCATGGAGCTGAGTGGCTTCCAGCTTATCAGGTGCCTTAATAGCTGAATAATTCCAGCCCCATCAGCGAGCCCTTAATTGCCTTCTTGTGGCTGCGGCCTGGAGTGCATGCTGAGTGGGTGACTCCCCGGGGACAGCCGCGAGCTCCAGGCAGCGTGATGGACTGGGGGCGGGGGTCCAGGCACACAGCTCCCTGCCACCTGGGTGGCTTTCTCCCCATGGGCCAGAGGCGCAGCTGCCTGCCTGCCCACGTGGGACCTGGCTGAAGGGTGGCTGAGCTGCTGCTTGGACAACTTGGGAGGGGTAAGGACCACAGGGTCTTCTTGGAGGAGCTGGCGCAGCCCCGGCCAGACCCTGGGCAATGAGGGGGAATCTGGATAGGCAGAGAGCGGGAGAAGCTGTCTCGGGGGGGAGCACACACGTGAGTGTCGCGGTGTCGTGCAGGCGCTCCCCACCCCAGCCTCCTGCTCCCCCCTCCCCAGCCACTGTCATCCTCAACGAACTCAACTGGACAGAGGCCCTGGAGAACGTGTTCATCGAGAACCGCAGGCGGGACCCCACGCTGCTGTGGCAGGTGTTCGGCAGCGCCACGGGCGTCACCCGCTACTATCCGGGTAGGTGCCGGCTGTGGCCCCTGCCCCCAAGCTCCCCACCCTGCTCCAGCTGCGGCCTGGGAGGCCTGACTCCCTGGGCCTGGCCCTTCCCTGCCGGTGCCCCCCTCACTTCTGTCTTCCCACAGCTACCCCCTGGCGAGCCCCCAAGAAGATCGACCTGTATGATGTGCGCAGGAGACCCTGGTGAGCGGGCAGGGAGGGGCTGGGCAGGGACACCCCCTCGGCTCCCCGCCTCTCCTGCCTGCCTCCCTCCGGTATCGAGGCCTCCGAGCAGGGCGCAGCCAGCTCTATCCAATTTTCATTTCACACATCGTTGCCACTGGAAAATGGAGCCCATCACCCAGGCAGGCCTCCCAGCTGCCTCTGCCCCCAGCCACCGCTGGCACCCCCACCCCTCAGGACTGAGAGCTGGGACCATGGGAGCTCCAGAGGGCGGATGTAGCCTCTGCTGGGTGGTTGGCCCTGCCCCACCCCAGGGAGCCCCAGACACCCCTCCCTCCGCTCTGCCCCTCCCCCCTCCAGCAGCAGCAGCCAGTGACTCCTTCCCTGCACCTGCCTCACCCCACTGGGGCCAGGGAGCCGCCTCCCGGCCTGCCCTGGATTCACTTGCTCACCCCCCTGGTGCCTGTTCACCTCCTGCTAGAGCAGATCTCTCATGGCGTGGGCGGGGGCTCCCCGGTGGAACTGTGTGGAATGAGTATGGAGGTGCAGGAATGGCTGGCCCTGACTGAGGCTTCTCCTGGACAGGTACATCCAGGGAGCCTCGTCGCCCAAGGACATGGTCATCATTGTGGACGTGTGAGTGAGCAGTGCCGGGGGGCCGGGGCCTGGCCTCTGCTGCTTGGAACATCGTGGGTGGGGGGAGGAGAACACTTGAGGCCTGCCTGGCGCCTCACTGGCCACCGCCTGACCTCTCCAGGAGTGGCAGCGTGAGCGGCCTGACCCTGAAGCTGATGAAGACGTCTGTGTGCGAAATGCTGGACACACTCTCTGACGATGACTACGTGAACGTGGCCTCGGTGAGTGCCAGGGCGGCAGACGGGAACGCGGCCGCTCTGCTGCCAGAGCCAGCGCCAGCTTTGCGCCCCAGCTGCTGCCCTGGACAGCCTGACGCCCCTCCCCCACCCCACTGTCCTGCAGTTCAATGAGAAGGCACAGCCTGTGTCATGCTTCACACACCTGGTGCAGGCCAACGTGCGCAACAAGAAGGTGTTCAAGGAAGCTGTGCAGGGCATGGTGGCCAAGGGCACCACGGGCTACAAAGCCGGCTTTGAGTACGCCTTTGACCAGCTGCAGAACGTGAGCCCCGTGGTGGGGGCAGGGCGGGGGCTGGATAGGCGGCCAGGGGCAGGCAGGGGCCCAGGCTCAGTGACACCGAGAAAATCAAGATGGATGGCCTTGTTAGCACCAAACAGGCAGCTGGAACACAGAGCACCATCTGCTATGGGGGAGGAGGGCCAGAGGACCAGAGCGCCAGGTCCACCGTGGGGAGGGAGGCCCTGCCCCTGGACGGGGAGGGGCTGGGAGCTGCCTGACTCCGCGCTCACCCCGGCCAGTCCAACATCACTCGGGCCAACTGCAATAAGATGATCATGATGTTCACGGATGGCGGCGAGGACCGTGTGCAGGACGTCTTTGAGAAGTACAACTGGCCCAACCGGACGGTGAGGCTCAGCCCAGGCGGGCTGCCCTGATCTGGATGCAGGACAGGGGAAGGCTGCCCTCTGGTGGCCACGCCAGTAACCTCCAGCTCCTGCAGGTGCGCGTGTTCACTTTCTCCGTGGGGCAGCACAACTACGACGTCACCCCGCTGCAGTGGATGGCCTGTGCCAACAAAGGTGCCCCCCCGATGTCACTGCCGGGGGCATGTCCAGCTGTGTGTCCAGCTGTTTGCTCGCACACTATCTGGCCATCTTTCCATGCATGTGGCTGCCCATTGTTCTGTAGCTGGGGTGCCTCCTGACTTGTGCACCTGACTCAGCATCTTTCTGCACATCTTGTCTGTCTGCTGTCCACCTGTCTCCCAGCTAGTCCATTCCCACGTCTGTTTGCCGATCAGTCCATCACCCTGTGCACTTGGGCCTGGTGCAGGGAGGACCTGGCTGTCCCTGCCATCCTAGAATGAGGGGCTTCAGGCTTCTGGCTCCTCCTCCCACCCCATCTCTGCCCCACCCACTGCCAGTCACTCCGCTAGTGACAGGGCAAGGAAGGGAGCACAAAGGGATGTGAGTTTGAGGGGGGACAGCATCAAAAGAGGGAGCCTGTAAGGCAAGTCAGGGCTGCAGACACAGGCCCTGTGCTGCATCTCCTGCAGTGCTAGCCAGGCCCACCTTGGCCTTGCCTTCCTTCCTAGGTTACTACTTTGAGATTCCTTCCATCGGAGCCATCCGCATCAACACGCAGGTGAGACTGTTGGGGAAAGCCCCTCCCCCCAGCTGCCTCGCTTCTCCAGAGGATGTGTGCAATGGGCTGCCGTGGGTCAGGAGCGCCCCCTGGTGGGAGCTGGGACACAATTCCCCATGCATAGGGTGGTAGAACAGGGGCAGGCGTAGGAAGGGCATTTGTGACTCCTGCCGCTCGCTCTCCCCAGGAATATCTAGACGTGTTGGGCAGGCCTATGGTGCTGGCAGGCAAGGAGGCCAAGCAGGTGCAATGGACCAACGTGTATGAGGATGCGCTGGTAAGGCCTCTGGGCAAGAAAGGGGTTGGGCTGGCAACCTTCTCCCAGGGATGTACCCCAGAATGAAGACCCTTGAGGGTCGCTTTATGGGGGTAACCCAAGAAGAAGAGAAAGAGGTGGCCTGTGCCTGAGCCCTTGGGGTGAGGGTAAGGCTGGCCACAGAAGACCCCATCCTCCTCCTCTCCCTTCAGGGGCTGGGGTTGGTGGTAACAGGGACCCTCCCTGTTTTCAACCTGACACAGGACGGCCCTGGAGAAAAGAAGGTGAGGTCCCCACAGGAGGATGGCTGGGCATAGCTGGGGAGGGTCGGTGTGCCTGGAGCAGGTCTCCAGAGGCAGGACGGAACGGGCAGCTGCCTGTGAGAGCAGCTCTAGGCCTTGAGTGTGGACGGAGGGGGGACTCTCCCCTGGACCTGAGCCCATCACAGACCCCCTCCCCCACACCTCCGCTCCCAGAACCAGCTGATCCTGGGCGTGATGGGCATCGACGTGGCTCTGAACGACATCAAGAGGCTGACGCCCAACTATACAGTGAGTGTCCTCCTGCGCCCCTGCCTGCCACAGGGACACAGCGGGCGCAGCGGGAGACAGACAGGATGACAGCACCTCCATGGGGACCTCTGCATTCAGGGAATCAGGGAAGGCTTCCTGAGGAGGTGACCTTGGGACAGCCATTAAGGGCCAGAGCATGAACATTTTAGTCTTCGCTAGCCTGAATTCCCAGCCTATAGTCAATCCTGCTGTCATACTACAAAAGCGGCCATAGGCAGAGCGTAAAGAAACAGCCATGGCTTTGTTCCAACAGTTTTATTTGTAGATACCGATCAATGACTTTCAAGTAATTTTCATGGGTCATGAGATATAAAGATATATTCTTCTTTGATTTCTTTCCAAACATGTATAAACCGACTGTTCGCAGCTACCGGCCACCTACCAGCAGGTGGCAGGCCAGACTCACCCATGCACAGAGCAGGGGAAGGCTTGTACTGCAGGCAGAGGGAACCCTCTGGGCAAAGGCCTGAGGATGAAACACAGAATCGTGGATCAGGGAAGGAGGATGTGGGCAGCGTCACTAGCCCAGGGCCCTGGTCAGGGAGCAGGGGTCTCGGATGTGAAAAGGCGGGAGCAGGGTCTGTGTGACCGTATCTGTGAGCCGCAGCCACATGAAGCCCCTGTTTGGCCCTGAAAGGGCAGAGGCCATGGTGTGGGTCTCCACGTACAATGAGAAAACTGCCTCAAAGGGGTAAGAGCTGGGTGCAGGCTCCCACTTAGGCCTGCCCGCCTGGAGGGGAGGCCCCAGACCTGCAGGACGCCCAAGGGTCTCCTCCTGCCCCTGCGTGCTACTGCGCTGGAAAGAAGGAAGAGAGCAAAACAGAGGCAGGAATGGGGAGCCGAGGGCCATGGTGGTGCAAGAGCAGCAGCCTTGTGGGGCCGGCGGAGGGTCAGGTTGGGCTCACCGAGGCCTCCACAAGACCCAGCAGCAGAGACAGAAGCGCAGGATGCCGGCCATGGAGTTGCTCGGCCTTGGCAGAAGCTGGTACGGCAGACACCCAGCCTTCTGGCCTGGCTTGAGAGGCAAGCTTATGGCTCTGTGGCATGTTGGCCAAGCTAGGCAAACAGCACTGCCTAGCAGGATGGAAGACAGAATGGGGAAGAGCTCTGGAGCCCAGGGGGTCGCTGCCCAGTCCTCCAGACCCCTGAGCCCCTGCTCTGCACCCTCAGCTCGGAGCCAACGGCTATGTGTTTGCCATTGACCCGAACGGCTACGTGTTGCTGCATCCCAATCTGAGGCCGCAGGTGAGCCAGGCTGTCGGCCGGGTGGGGGTGGGAGCGGGGGACCCCTCCAAGAGCAGGACTCCTGACTTTCCACCCTGCCTCCCGCAGACCACCAACTTCCGGGAGCCTGTGACTCTGGACTTCCTAGATGCAGAGCTGGAGGATGAGAACAAGGAGGAGGTGAGGAGCAGGGGGGCAGCGGGCCAGGAGCAGGTGCTGCGGACAGAGGGTCACATCTCTGGCCTTCCAGATCCGTCGCAGTATGATCGACGGCAACAGGGGCCACAGGCAGATCCGAACGTTGGTCAAGTCCCTGGATGAGGTGAGGAGGCGGGGGCGGGGTATCCTCCTACCCCAGCCTCCCGCCCCGTCCCCCGCCCCTCACGGCCGAGTGCCTGACCTGCCTTTCCCCCAGAGGTACGTAGATGAGGTGATTCGGAACTACACCTGGGTGCCTATAAGGAGCACCAACTACAGGTGAGTGGGACTGGGGCTGGGCGGGCGGGCAGAGGGCGGGGGTCCCGGCGTCTGAGCCCGGGTGCAGCCCTCCCCCCGCCAGCCTGCTGTGACCACCGACCCAGCAGCCAGGGCCCCCTGCTACCTCCTGGGACACCCCCGGCCCTCCTGGGACCAGCACAGGACAGAGGCAGGGCAGCACACCCGATGGCTCCTCCCCCAGCAGCCTGTCTTCCTGCCGCCTGGACTGCATCCCTAGGTGTCTGCTCCCTAGGACCTGGCCCCAGCACATTCACTGCCCTCTCTCCACCAGCACCACAGGCCCCTGGTGGGCCAGGCCCCATCAGCACAGGCTGTCCTCTGTGCCCCCCACCCAGGGCCAGCCTAAGACTGTCCCTCACCATAGTGGAGCTGGCCTGCCTTGAGCTGGCCCTGGGGCCTGAGTGTCCTGGGACCATGGTGCCCACTCCTGTGACAGCCCCACCCCTGCAGCTAGCTCACTGCCAGTGTCCAGCCTCTGTGAGTCTGCTGCTGGTCAGATGGAGGAGGCCAGCCAGGCAGGTCGGGTGTCATGGGAGGCTGCTAGGGTGGGCAAGGGGTGGTGGTTCGCTCTGGGGCTGGAGTTCAGAGGCCTCCAGGAGCACTTGGGTAAAGACCCAGGCCCCTGGGCATCTCCAAGGTGCTGAATCTCCCGCAGCTAAGCAGGGTCAGGTTGGCCTGGTGGTTGGAGGAGGGGTTGCCACAGCTTGGGTCTCTCTGCCCAGCTCCAAGGCTATGGGGAAGGGCACCCCTGTCCCCAGCAGTAACCTGCGCTCCTCCCCCTCCTCCCCAGCTTAGGGCTGGTGCTCCCACCCTACAGCACCTTCTACCTCCAAGCCAACCTCAGCGACCAGATCCTGCAGGTCAAGTGTAAGTGGCCCGGCCCCTGCCTGCGCCCTGCACCCCTGCCTCCTCCCGCACCCTGGCCGGCCCCGGGCAGCACAGGCAGCCGCTGCTTGCCAGCAGGGCGGCCCCTCCTGCCCAGTCTGCCCACCCCAGGTGCCTGCAGGCTGAGGCCCGGCCTTCGAAAGTCTGGAATTCTGCATGCTGGCCTTTTCAGATTTGGTTCTAGACCATCCTCTCATGGTTTCCGTTGAGGTTTCTGGTTTTGGTTTCTCCTCTTCTGTGTCTTTCCTCCTAAGCCTGCCTGCCCTGAACACCCCTGGGGGCTGCATTTTTGGAAGACACCCCCTCCCCTCTTTTCTCCCGCCCATGCTCCCCGCTCAGCTCCCACTGTGGTGCCCCCTCCCCAGGGGCGACCCACAGGAAGAGATCTTCCATCTGCTGGTTCACTCCTAAAATGGCCTCAGCGGCCAGGGCTGTCCAGGCTGAAGCCATGGAGCCTGGAGCACCATCTAGGTCTTCCACATGGGTGCAGAGGCCTGAGCATGTTAGCCACCTTCTGCTCCTTTCTCAGGCACAGTAGCAGGGAGCTGGATCAGAAGTGCAGCAGCTGGGACTTGAACTGGTGCTCTGACAGGGGATGCTGGTGTTGCAAGTGGGGGCTTAACCTGCTACGCCACAATGCCAGCCCCTGCCCCCTTTACACTTAGTTATTTGAGGGGGAAGAGAGAGAGTATGCACCCCAGAACAAGTGGGCCAGGAGGCAGAAGCTCAATCATGGTCTCTCACTTGGGTGGGAAGGACCCAAGTACCTGAGCCCTCCCCTGCTGCCTCCCAGGGTGCGCATCAGCAGGAAGCCGAGCCTGGGAGTGGGGACTGGACTGACGCCGGGCACTGCAATACTGGATGCAGAGGTCTT